AGGAGAAATAGAGGAAGAAAAGCACCCAGAACGAAGGAGCAGGAGGGAGAGGATGGCACTGCAAGGACAGGCAGCGACACTGCTCGGTCCGCATCAGCTATGGCCATCAGCACACCTTCGGGCTCTTTGAGTAGAGTCCGGCTCTTTCCACTTGTGCACCTGACCCACCCTCCAGAGTCAGCAACCACAGACACGTACCTCGACTGACAGACCGGGGACAGGTCTTCGGGGATCTGAACCCCCAGTGGGTCAGTGAAGACGTGCTCGGTGTACACACCAGGCTGGGAGACATCTACAGCATCATCTGCAGACCCTGCGTTGCCTTCGGTGGCTTCCGTTGCTTCCTCGGCAGTTGGAACACTTTCGTCAACCTCACTCTGCTCCACTTCCATGTCTATGAAATGCATAGCATTCTGAGTGTGAGCTTGTCCGTGCCAGTACTGTCCCTACAAAAGCCCCGTGGTGGCGTAGTCCGGCAAGCGCTCCTCCTGCTGTGTCATCACCCCAACAGCTCAGTGTCCCTAAGTGGTCACCATGGCATCTTCTGCCCAGCCCCCTCCCTTCCTGCTCCTGGGGGACCAGCAAGTCCACACCACACTGCCTGGGTACAGGCAAGGACCCGGGTACCTGAGGGCTTGTCTGTCACCGGAGAAGCACCATTGGTACTGGGGGATGGGGCAGCTCCTGGTGCCCCTTCTGTGGAGCAGCCGACCACCGTGATGCCCCCCAGCAGGCTGTCTGTCTCTGCTGAGCTGTTGCTCGTTACACTTCCACACAAGGATGCCTTGTCCACTTGCCCAGACTCTGAAAGTTCCTCTCCTGCAGGGTAATCTGTTTCCCGGGCTCCTGAAAGAGGAGATAAGTTTTCTTTTCCAAAAGAGCCAGGCACAATGGCGCAGGCCTGCAGTCCCAACGACGTGGGTGGCTGAAGCAGGAGGATCACGAGTTTAAGGGAAGCCTAGAGAACTTAGTGAGACCCTGTCTCAAAACAAAAGTCCAAGGGCTAGGGCTACGGCTCAGTGATAGAGAATCCCTAGGTTCAACTCTAGGATTGCCAAAAAAAGGAAGAAAAAGTACGGCAAACTCTGATACATAGCTTTGTTTAAGTAAAGCAACTAAGGGTACTTACGCTAACCTCTACAAAATGCGACTGTTAAAGGGAAAAATGGTATTAATGGACTGCAAACAACAATGTAAGAATGTCGGAGAGGGTACCTCTGTCTTTAACAAGTTTCTCAGTAGACACGTGAAGTTCAAAACAGCCTAATCATAATGTCTGGCATCAAGTCAGAAAAAAATGTTTTTTGAATTAGCAGGGTTACTACTTGAAATATGGTCTTTTCCCCACTACTGTTAATTATCCTAAGTTAGGCATGGTGGTGTGTACCTGTAACCGAAGTTCTCAAGAGGCTGAGGTAGGAAGATCGTAAGTTTGAGCCAAGCCATGGGCTTGGAAAGACCTTGTCTGAAAACAAAAACTTACTTTATTTTTTTATGCACTTAGTACAGAGTCTACAGGGTCTCACTACACAGACTGGACTCCTAGTGATCCT